AAGGGATCTCRTGTGTGTGCACATATCTACAATGATATCATGGAAAATCAAACTGCAGTTCTGGAAGCAAACTCCAAACTTATTTTTTCTAAAAGCAAACTTTTAGAAAAAGTTCGGTTTAGGGTGTCAAACTTTTGACACTTTTAAGAAATCTGATTTCCAGAGAACAACTGCTTAAAAAGTCTTCCAAACTGTAACCTCCTAAAATAGCTCTCCCAGAACACAGGGGCCTACTGGTCCCTCCCAAAGTCTCCCTAGTGCCCTCGGCCGTAACCTGACAAGACCAAGGTCCTGCAAATCTGTGAGCTTTGAGATTTCTGCACGCAGAGATTTTTGCCTTCGCTCTGGTTCAACACGATTAAACCCAGTAAATAATACCCTGGGCAAATGCAGGAGACAGATAACAAAAGGAAATAGTTAAGGTACTATAATAACTTTAGCCATTCTTTTTTCAGGTCACTATAATCTACCCAAAGATAACTAATTGTTCAAAGTAAACATTCCACTCCGACCACAAAAGGAATCCATTACACAAACATATAATTCACAGTCATTTTTAGTGGGTTGTAAACAGTTTGGAATGAGCATAAAATGGGACAAAAATCAAAGTGAGCATTTAGAAATGAAAAAGTGTTTGCTACAAAAGGTCAGTCCCTTTACTTGGCAAACTATGTAGAAAAGCCTGGGAAAATGTTGAACACACAAGCAGTAAGGGAATTTTAAAGCCAACAACCTCCCTGTTTCTTTAAACAGACATCGGAACCTATAACTGGATCCTGTCAAACAAACGACAGCAAAAAAACATAACAGCTGCTAAGAAGTAAAGTTGAAAGATAAAGTTTTCTAAGCTAAGAACCTTCTCAGAAGTGGACTAAAGGTCCTTCTTAAATCTTTAAGCAAGGTTATGGATCCCAGGGTGGCTTTTAGGCACTGAATCAAATATGTAATTTTGTGTATCATTCCTGTCAGAGCATCCTGTGCTCCAAGAAAAGCAACAGAAAACAATGTCTGCAATGTCCAGCTTAGCATGGAAACGGTACCTGCAGTCGCCAGCCTTGCTGCCCATGGAGTCGTTTTCAGGCCCTTTGGGCTCCCTTGGGAACACTCCCTTGCATTTGGGAATGGAGGGAGCAAACGAAAGGTGTTTAATGTGCGAGATGAAAGTCACACTGCATTTCTCCCCAGGAATCAGTATTATTTCCTTGCAAAACATGCTGGGTGCCCTAGACACGTGGGAGGATGCTGCTCATTTACCTTGGTCATTAGGCATGCAAGCGAGTGATCCCCCTGCAAAAGACTTAASCATCGAGTAACATTCACACGACACAGCATTGCCCTGAGTACTGCATGGCATTTGGTTTAGGTACTAGTAGGACTGATATTTTTATTTTTTAAAAGTGTTCTGCTCATGCCTTTTAGTTATTTAAAAAAGGAGGGGGAAAAAATAGAAAAAAAAAAAAAAAAAACCCAGTCAGAGATTTTAATGGGTCGTGGATAACAAAATAAATACGCAGCTCGATAAATGACTGGAAATCATATCTGGCCTGGAAACACCAAAAATCTTGCAAGGGGCCCCACCCTTGGCAGGCCGCACGGCATGGGAATCGCAGCGCGCTCCCAGGACTATCCCGAGCTCTGCTTCCTGCGGCGCTCAGCACGGGCCGGGATACCTGTCAGACCCTTTCTGGTCAAAATGGGGTGACCACAGAGGAAAAGGCAGCTCGACAGGCAGGAGAAGCCAGCGCAAGGGCGATATTAATGGAAAAATGACTGAATAAGAAGAAAAAAACAGACTAGATTCCTCCACAAAAACCTCTGAGATATTTTCAGCCTGACCACTGTAAGGTACAGCATATATTTCTATCCACCAGAGTATATAACATCCATGAAAGTGTTTTTTACATAGCATATCATAGGTGATATCCAGGGGGGCAACACTTTCTGGCCAGGCACTATGGATTTTCGTGGCTGAGGTCTCGATGCTGAAATGCTTGAGTCAAGAGGTTCATCAGAATTATGAATGAATAAATAACTCGGAAAGAGAGTGAGAGGGAAAATAAAGAAAGAATTTGCTTCTAAAAAAGTTAAATGTGACAATTGCCTTGCAAGTTTACAAGAATGGGCGCAATATTTTTATTGACTCTCTTGATGCTCGCGGCTCCACAATATGGCTGATTGCAAGATTAAATGAAGTAGTGAAAACCCCTCTGCTTCCCAGTTCTATTTCAATAACTACTGACAGCAAGAGAGGCTGAAAAATGAGATTTGCAACTAAACAAGTGAATCCCTGTCGTACAGATAAATATGGATCGGGCTCTGGGCTTAGTAGCCTGGGCCTTAACCTGGGCACCTCTCTATTGAGATGATGAATGAGCAAAGAGTATTCAAAGGGACCAATGACCAAAATCTGATCTAAGTTGCAGCAAATTAATCTCAGCATAGTCCCTCTGATTTCAGTGTATCTACATTCTTATAAAATAGTGTAACTAAAGAGGAAATCTTGCCAACAGTTAATGACACTCTCTACATTTTTAATCTGTGGGAGAATATTACTGGAGTTTGTCTAAGTAACCTCATCTACGCAGGAAAATGTGCTAATTAATATGGCTTATTCTGATCACTGCTAGCCTTCCTTTCTATGCCTAATGATAATGTTTTAAAAATCTGAAAAGGAAATAGTGTTTGGCCAGAAACGTCAATAAGCAAACAGTATGATAAAATAATCATTAAGGCCTTGAGTTGATAAAGAAGAATACAGCCATAGAGAAAAATATGAATGTTACGTAAGTAACATTTAGTTTTAGTCTCCTAAGGTCTTTATTTCTGATAATCTTTTATCTTAAATGAAGCATACAAGTAACATTTTTGGTACAGTTACAGTATGTAGATGATATATTTTCTACATAGAAAAATAAAGCAACTTCAGGAAAAAAAAGAAAAAAAAAAAGAAAATGCTTTTCTACAACAGCCAATATGCCAGCTGTACTGAGTATTTGGGCCATCTTACTAAGACTATGAAAGTAAACATACAGTTTTCATTAAATGTGCCTTTCCCATAATTGGTACATAAGTATTTCCCATGACTCTGCAGTTGAGGATCTTGGCTGGAGGCAGATCTGGCCATTACGAGGAGGGCTTCAGATCTGTCGAGTCTCAGCCATGCCGGGAGACTTGGCACCTCCACATACTGCTTCCTAATACCAACCCCGGTATAAAATGTCATCAGAAGCTTGCATAAACACTGGACTTAGCTTCACATAAATTACTGCTGTCCTGAGATAGTTTATGCCAGAACTTAGTAAAAACAACACTTTGAGTAAATAGAATGTGAGTAAATGCAAGGATCCTAATCCAAGAAAATGATAATAGAAAAACTGTAAATCAAATATAAACTCGTAAATACAGCAATAAAATGAAAATTTTATCTCAYGCCATACAATCGGCTTTTATTTACATACTAGAGTAACTAAAAGTGATAGACTTTTCTCAAAGTTGCAGCAACTTTGCATGAAGAACAAGACTGGTAATGCCACACACTGAAGGCTGAGCTCCTCTGAGAGGAAACAGTGGCATTTTTGTATTTTCCTGCATGCATTTCTCCGGTAATCATGCAGATAATAAACATCTAATGAGGTGTCTTGCACTTTGCTGTTACAGTTCAGCAATGCTGAGCACCTTTGGCCTCACTTCTCCTAGAAGAACGGTCAGATACCACAAAATGCCTCGGAAACACCTAGCGCGGCGTTCGGAGAACCTGCACTGAGCTTGTACCAGAGCAGTCAATTAGACATGTTCTGCACGCCTTGGCATTTCCGTAACCTAATCTCCATCTTCCCTTTCCACATCCTGAATGTCTCCTTACAATTCCTCCTCTATTAACAGTCCCTTCTCACACTTATCCCCTCTCTTTGTCTCTTGCTTTCATCCAGCCTCCAGGCAGGCTCCGGAAAATCCAATGGCACGATCTCCCCCTACCGAACGGCCACCGCTTTGGTGATCTCGACTTCCTGCCAATCACTTGGGAATAGCAATATCCCAGTGCTCTCTTTGCTCTATAATTAAAGCATGAATTTCACAGAGTTTGAAACTCTAGGGTAGTTTTATTGCACCTTTCTCTATAAAACCAGGTAACAAYGACGGAATTAAAATAGCTTTTCCCTTTGTGGTTGGTGGTCCAACTATCATTTTCTTTTTCATTGGTTCTCCAGTTCTGAGAGGCGAGTATATGACAGTGACAATGGGTTCACCCAGCCTTATTCTGAAAATAAATTTTCTATCTTTTGCAAGATATATGTTTCCCCAGATCCCTGGAACAAGTTGTAAACTTGTAACAGATGGTGATGAAGCCTCACATTTTTATACAATACATTTTAAGATGCAGCATCTACCGCATGTACCTTCCAAAGAAAATGACCTTCGATGAGAAAAGATATTCTCTAAAGAAAGGAAGGAGGGCAAAGGTGTCAAGCATATCTTTTTATACTATGAAATTCTTCCTTATTAAATTAATCAAAACTTAGAATGGGGATGAATACTCATTCGGGTTTTGGCACAGTACTACCACTTTTTATAATACCAGTAAAAATTAGGCACCTGCATGCATAAGAAAAAAAAAAAAATGTTTTCACACTAGCATAACATTTATTTTCGTTGAAGAGAATTTAGGACTTACGGAAAAGTATTGGCATTACATTCACCAGAGACTTCAGAATGGAAGTTACTGACATTTTATTGATGTTTAGCGTTTGCTTATCCAGAGAAAGACTAAAACATGTCAAACAAAATACAAGGAATAATCAGCAAGAACAGGTTTTATTAATATCTTAGTATATAAAGAAGATAATGATACAGAACATGATACAGTTCAGTCCATAGCTGTATTTTAATATGAACTGCCTGACTTCTCTGGCAATTAAAGCAGAGTTATAAAGTTAAAGTTTTGATTACTAACACAGGGAGAAAAAAAAGTGTTAAAAAGTGTTAAATCTCATGGTACTCACCTCTCCTTTCAACAGCTTCTATACAAAGTCTTACAAATTTTGGGACTGTAGAATTTTCATGCTCACATACCAAGTGCAAATGGGAGCCAAAAATTTGATCTACATTTGGAAAAAAAAAAAAAAAATCACAAACAGGAACATACATTAAAGCACACTATTATTAGTAGTAGGCTTTTCATCTCTCCTGAGCTCTGCATATTAATTAAAAACTCACATGTGGAAGACGGACAGATAAAGTTAGAAACAAATCCCTTCTAAGCTCTAGTAGTTGCTGGTTTCTGCCCCAGAGCAAACCCCATCCCCACCTGCCCAGCCTTTGCATGGGTTATCTCCCAATGGGCTCAAGTTTCAATTACACCCCTCTGAGCTTGGACGTTGTCACCTCTGGATTTTCCCTTGATCTGCCATAAAAGGCCAAGGTCTTTCTAAAGATTCTACGCCATATTTTGTATGAATCTAAAACTGTGTGATATTAACTAATGGGGGCTACCTTGGACACTTGTACTCTTGGGTAGCCTCTGACTCCCACATATATAGAGTGCATGTGGGTGCAAAGAGATGATTACTGTGAATAYTTACAATTTATAATACTTTGAAGTGGGTTTTGGTCATCAAATTACCCATTTAAAAACAGCCATATAGCTATAACTATGATAATAATGATAACTATATACATACCTATAACTGTATCTGTATATTTATGCCTCTGTGCAGACACTATACATGAGTGAACTACTGAAGCTGGCTCTTAGTTCTTTGCAATGCGTTTTTACTGTCATCAACTACTTAATTCATTGCATTATTTTCCCCAAAATATTCCATGGCAAGTCCAGGAACAAACAAGCGCTCAAGAAAAGTGGTAAACAAATACAGGTAACACTGGATTTCTGAAACAACCATAGTGAACAAACTTGTATTTTCTTTTTTTTTCTTTCACTTTGTATTTGATGGACACCTAAAGAAATTATTTTGTGAGTATATCTCACTTGYGTGTCAAAATTTAGGAAGAGTCGCTCTTAAAATTTAAAATGTTGACTGCAAACTGAATATTATCATCACCTCTCCTACATGTCTGACTCTTAGGTACTCTGCCTCTTTACAGTCATCACAGAGAGGATGGATGGATTAAATATGTTTCCATGAGGATGGCAAGCACATCTTACACCAACTTTACCTTATAAATTGAGCTGTTTCCCTGGAATAGGCATTCAACTAGGAAAACACTGTTCCTTTTTAGTCTTTATGATTTTAAAGTTTTGATCAACTTAGAATATCCATCTTAAAAGATAGCAGTATAACCAGGTTAAACTTTTTAGATTACTAATTAGCATCATCTACCTCATCTCCACTCTGTATTTGTGAGAAATTATGAAAAGAGCAGTCAGTAATAGGGATGTTGTCAGCTAGAATCAAAATGAATCAAACAGATGAGGGAAACTATTCAATAGGAGCCAGTTTAATGCTCAAACAATAGGCCCCCATTATCATCATTTATCCAAAGAGACAGCCTCCATATAGCATTTCAACAGCATATTCCTTTTTGGAAACTGGCGACGAGGCTCTGCACATTTTTGCACAGACAGCTGAGGATTTGCTCTGGAGAGCTCGCCTAAGGAACATGCTAAATCTCGGAGCACCGAGGTGGCCGTGGTCCTCTGCAGCACTTCATGTTCCTCAGCTGCCCTGCAACAGGGATGCTCCTCCATAGTTGGTCCCACCATCTCCGACCATGATTAGCTCAAGAGCATCCTCTGCAGAGCAGCACACTTTGCTTTTAGCAGGCCAAAAACCTTTTGTTCACACTATTTTGCAGTGACATTAACTTTGCCTTCCTATTATCAATCACTATTACTTCTCACCGAAGCTTAGATTTACAGAGCAACTTGATTGCCTTTTCTCTCCTAAATGCCCCGATTAAGGAACAAACAGGCAAACAAAGCAAGATGCACGGGACGGTTTGGCAGGAGTTTTGGACTTTCTGATTAAAGATACTTATCAGGGAAATGTATGCGATCTGCATTTTGATAAGAGTGCATCAAAGCCTGAATTGAAGTTAGTTGGAGTTTGGGATGCAGAAGGAATGGAGGATTGGGTTCRCAGAACTTGACTCAAAAAGGTTGTGTGCATGTGTGGCGTCAAGCATTAGCAAACAGTCTGTTACATGTTTTGGGGTTATGTTTCTGACGAAGCACAGTCTGGTTACATTTTCTTCATAAAACATTTATAGCTGCCTTCAGTGGTAATTATATATACAGAGATTTATGATTAAAATGTACTAGCACTTCCTCTTTTGACATCTTAATTGTTTTTTAAAATTTGAGCAAAAGCCTGTCAAATTCTTTGCATAACGTGGAATGTTCTCCAATGTAAATTACATTAAAAAAAAAAAAAAAAAAAAAAAAAAGGCATCTTATTTGGTGGACAAAGATGCTTGTAAACAGTGGCGCAGGACTAAAGCAGGCAAAGAATGGCGCTGGGTTTAGATGGCCAGTGTATGAACAGCAGAAACCAAGTTAGTGCTCAGATGCTCAGCAGCTTCCCCTCTCTATGATAAGCACATCCTAACCACCTCCAGGATTTTGCAGTTATTCAGGAAAATCTCCTGTATGAATGCAGGACACGYGATATTTCTGGGTGGAAATTCTGAAATGGCTGGAATCTCAACTTCTCTATTATTCCTTCAATTTTTTTTTTTTAAGATGTCGGTTCTGTAACTCCTTGAGCAAACTGATTAACCTCATTTTAGTTTAGTTTAGTTTTGCAGTATGCAGATGTAGTCACATTATGTATCATGCAATTAAGCTTTAAAACTCTTCTATTTGAATAGAAGAGGGGGAGCAGATCAGGCTAATAGCTGCTGGGCATCACAGCAGACTACAGTAAAACAATCGCATGCAACAAGTTTGGATTCCTTTTTCCTCCTAAAATTCATGCTTATTAAGAAGTACATGATCTAATGAGTCATGCAAATATTCTGCAACTTTATCTAGTCCATGCATTTTGCTGGATCTGTTTCTGTACACTAACACAGGAATGGTAAAAATTACTCTGCCATAGTTACATTCTTAAGGGTCACAGGGATAGTTGAGGAAAACTTAGTGAAGATTTATTYGTACAGTATTTTGAAAATAAGGCATTATATGCACACTAAGTCATTAATTTTTTGCTAACCAGATTTATGTGTAACTRAGACATAAATATTACTTGCTTATTCTTTTATAGGTATATATACTTTAAATCTCTGTTTAAGGAGAAACTATCCAGAACTTCTTTTCAAAAAATAAGAACTGCTCCCAGAGGGATAAGAGAAGCAAGAAAGGTTTTGTTTGATTTACTTGCGATAAGGCCCTTCAAAACTTCATTTTTTATGACTTGAAAAAAAAGATGTACACAACACCCCTAACCTCCTGTTATGACAGTTTATGTTTCCTATCCAGCTTATTTAACTCAAATGCCTGGGAAATAGACACAATTACCACCTTATGGAATGCTACTTAACTTTAAATGCTCCCCTCTGAATAGAAATCCACTTTATCTTCTCCAAGTTATTCCAGTTTCTCAGGAATAATTTCCTCTATAGGCTCCTGAAATGTTCTTGTTTCATCATTTAAAAATTTAAACTAACAATTGTTCAGAAATATCTTTTATTAGAACAAAGGCAATTCCCATACAGTGGATTCTGTTCACAAGAGCTTGTACAAAGGAGCTGCATACTATGCCCATATACAGCTTTAATCATTCACTCTTTCAGCTGTTATCAATTTAAAACCAATGAAACTCCCACACTGAGTCCATTTGAGCAGTCAATTTTAATATCTTGGGGCATCTGTAGTTATTCTGAATTGGCTGCAAAAGCAGAACTAACAAGTTAAGCTCTAACCATAAGTCTACATCAGGCTGGTAAACCATACATCAAACACAGACAGTTAGTCAATACTGTAGTATGAAAAACCAACAAGCATTTTTAAGAAGAACAATATATTCATAATATGTTTGGTGGTATGGTTTACATTACACATCCCTGCTATCTACGCATTAAACTTTCCATTTAGGATGGCGGGGTGTGTGACAGCTTTGCACATGGATATAAAATGAGACACCAGGAGAGGAGRGACTGGACATTCGCACGTTGTATAATGTGCAATGATGATTACAGCTGCAGTGAATTGCTCATGCTGGAGAGCCTCAAGTTTTCCCTGAGCCTGCCAGCCCTGCTCTTYTGGAGCGGCTTCTGCAGGCTACAGCAAAGCCACCAACTCTGAGCTGCACAAACCTACGGGAGACAATACTTCTGGAAAAGAGACAATTAAAACACAAGCACAAAAGCCACATCCTCACTGAGAATGCCATTGTGTGCCTCTTTTGGGGGGGTACATCTATGAGATGTGGCCACATTTGGAAGGAGCTTATGCTTCACTGTTTTTTATTAAAAAAAGGCATCACTAATACACTAAGTTCTAAGGGAAAAGCTCGGATTCCGATACAAGAGGAGAAGGTAGAGTGTTATTATATCCAAGTTTCCAGAAAAAAAAAAAAAAAAATTATAAGTAGGCAGTGCAATTCAGTGCCTTCCAAAAGCAAATACATGCAGAGTTAATTCTACTATATCTGAGTTTGCACTGCGGAATTACCAGGGATTTTACCAAAATCTGTGCTGTTTGGGTACTGTATTTTACTGTATCACTATTGGGGAAAAAGGGGGGAAGAGAAAGAAAAGGGAAAAAAGAAAACCAAGTGAAGAAGGGACAGAGAGGGAGACAGAAAAGCAAGCACCATAACTGCAAGTTTTTTGGAGAGGAAAGGGAGGTGGTTGGAAAAGGCCGTGTTCTCAAAGGTGGTTTTCTAGCTACTCGGTATGTGTGCAGCTGAAACATGAAGTCCGACATTAAAACGAAGCTGATCACAGAGCAGAGCTCCAAGGAATGCCACAAAGCTTCTACAAAAAGTGGGCCAGGTTCTCAGCTGACTGAAGTCAGCAAGGTTGTCATTGGGGCTCCACTGATTTATGCTAGCTGGGAGCCTGGCCAGTCCTTTTAACTTGGAGATTTACTGCATACAGTTGATCTGTAGTGGTCATCAATTAAAAAAAAAAAAAAATTGCATTTGTGAACAATTACTATTAAGTGGCCTATGAGCTATCAGATATGTTTCACATTCTCAGAAAAAGGAAAAATACAGGGTATTTCAGACAGTAGTCTCTTTCAAGAAATTACAGGGTTTTACTAGGGATAAGTGTTCATTTGAATTCAAAGAGTGTAAGCTGTTATATTCCTTCTCCAAACAGGTTTCCCCCAAATGAGATATTTCAAAATAAACAGAATGATTTCTGACCGTCAAGTCATGATTAGAGCAATGTCAAGGGAAAATCGCTTAGCCCAACATTTGGCCATATACAGAGTTTGGGAACCATAATTCAGAAAATCTGTGTTTTCTGAACAGCTTAAAATCAGGCTTTTAAGCTACTGTCCAAGAAAGTCAAAGGAAACATTTCCCAACTTGTCCTAAATTGTACTAGGTACCAAAACATCTGCTAAATTCTTGCATATCCCAGGAGAATGGCAGAACATACCCAAAGGTAGGTCTTTTGAAAGACAAAACAGCTACTGAGCCTTAAATTTTGGATTTCTCAAGAGAAAATACTCATCTTGGTGAGTTACTCCAGGGCCCATGACTTAACTCCATGACATGAGAGATGAGAGACAGGGGAAGGAAGTCTTCCCTTGTCCACAGATAAATTGACTGGTGATTTCTGTGCTGCTAAAAACAGAGTATATCCTGATCAGAGCTATAGACTATCAAGACTTATCACAGATAGATCCTCTTGCTGGTAATAGATTGGCTTTTATTATCATCTCGAAGCAGCAGTAATCATTCCAATTTGCTGTTGTTGCTTTTGCCTTCACTTAACTTAGGAAATAAATTCAGTGAAGTTCCTTTAGTCTCTAACTTTTGGGGAAAAAAAAAAAAAAAAAAAGCAAAGAAAAGAAAAGCCAGATGATTTCTTGCCAGCTGAATTTTCTTCTGTTCCCACAGCCTCATTTATGTTGTTATTCATGCTTTTTCCCATTTACCAAAAGTGTGTTTTGTGATAGTCTATTACCAACACAGCTACCACAGCCTTAAAAACACTACTGCACAGAAGGATTTTTTCTTTTCTGGAGTAGAGAAGCCCTGAAATCAGGAAGTCAGCAGGCCAATATTAAGTCGAAGGTTGACAATTCATTTTGGGCAATATTAAATCACGACAAAGCTCAAACTAAGAGATCAAAGTTCATTTATAGACTATAAAGCAGTTTTAAAAGACAAGATTTACACATTATTTTTCTAGCATATTAGTGCAGATTCTGTAAATTCTGGGAATATTTCAATCCCGAGGAACAGAAGACCCCTGCCCCAGCATATAAATTTGAACACAGCTACTCTTGCAACGCCGCTGTTGAGCTGGCAGACATGGAACGTGGCTCTTATTCATTGTTTTTATGCTTGTGTGCATGCGTGTGCGTATGCAAACATAAGCCACGGGCCTGTCATACAAAGCACTTACTGTGTTACCCCTCGTCTCCAAAGCTATCCAAAACGCTCTATACCGAAGCTATTTTGTGTACACATAAGTGAGATGGAAATATGAGATCTGACAATCTTCATTAGAGTTTTCACTGAAGCATAAATAGGCACATAGCGCCGGCCTGTTGTAATGAATGGAGCCAACGTGCTCCTCGGGCTCTGCCTTCGCAGAGGCAGACAGCTAGAAAGCGAATGGGACAGATAAGGCAAAAATAACTCTTTTTTTTTTTTTTTTTTTGGCACGTAAAGGTTTGGTGCATCTTCATTTTCAGACCATGTATAAATAACCTTTACATATTGCTCTGTGACATTCCCTTGTCTGAGTATTATCCCCCTGCTTCTTATACTTCCCAGTTTTTAACTGCTTCTGTTACTCACTCCAYAGATACTTCATACTTACTACATAAACAAAGTTTTGTTAAGAGTTAAATGACAATCACATAATCTCTAGATTTTCTGATAATAGTGTTGGCAGAACAAAGTACCCCAGGAGATCAAACTGCTATTTCATTTTGAAGCTTGTATTCCCAAATTTGGTTAATACGGAGAAATGTGTTGAGTCTTCTGGCCAAGAGCGCACACATCAGCGACTAACCGAGCACAGAACTGTGTTTAAGTGAACTTACCACCTTAAAATGTATTTACTCATGACTATAATTTACGTGTTAAATTTATTGGAGTTTGGGTTCCAATGTGACATACAATGTAAAAAATCAATATAGATTTGAGAGCTTTATAGTGCCCCTGGCAAATATGAATAGCAGCTGATGAAAAGTGAAGGTTTTTCACAGCATCTACAGTGCCACTGCACTGGAGTAATTAACACCACACGCTTCATAGATATTTATATCAATTCTCCACCAGCACATAGAACAGCTCTTTGTCAAAAATTTGGTACCAAGATGTCCTGCAAGGCTTTAGACACACTTTTATTACGAACCCCTATTTTAAGGGATTTACAATTCTGACAGAAGTCTTTCCCTATGGAATAAAAGTTAGCGTGCGTGTTCTCAGAGCTGGAGGAATTTTTTCTTGTAAAAACTGGTTAACATTTTTTCCCCCTAAGAAATGAGCAAATAAATAGTTTTGAGATTTTTCTGCCACCATTTAATTCACCTTTAGAAAAATAAATAGATGCATTTTTAATACGAAATTTGGCAAGCTTTTCATTTTTAATCTGGAGGGTTGCATTTTGTGATTTAAAAAAAATATTCTAATGCGAGCCTAAAAAATTAACATTTAAAAGTGGTCTCTGCATAAGCACTGCAACTGCATTTTCATAACATTTTAACAGATTAAGGGATAAACTCTACTGAAGACAATGAAGGAACCTTATCAAATGAGCATTTCACATGGACTTACCGTAGATTGGAATTAAGCCCYGCTAACGAATCCTGCCTCATTTGCATGGCCCAAACCTAATCCTAATGAAACTTCATGGTAGATAACTAACGTGTTTTCTTCAAAGTAACATTACCCTGGTATTAACACTGTGCAGGGCACTGATTCTGAGTCCCTGTGCCTGAACAAAATGCACAATATTAGGAGTCCAGAGAGGAGTCTTTCCAGGTAGGACCCAGCTATGCTTCTGAATCAAGAGCTTATTGAGACAATAGCCAAAACCAAATGTATTTGGCTTTCCTAGAGAGATATTAGAGGGTGCATTTGAGTTATGCTAATGAGCCTGGATTTGTTAGCAGGGATCACATCTGATCCCTATGTAGCACCGCAGGAGATTCATCAGCCACACTTTATTAAGCTAAAAAAAAAAAAAAAAAAAAAAAAAAAACCCCACACACCCTAAATCCAGAAATTAAAAGACTGTAAATTACTACTCTATTATTGAAATAACTGAAACAAACCAACATGATACATTCAAATCCCATCCTCAATCCAAAGGGTCCTTCAAATAGGGAAAAGTTCCTCCCACATGTTAAAATTAGATACAGCCATCATTTAGGGACAGATCTGCAAAGTTGGGTGACTGTGTGACCTGGGCATACAGGGCATTTTTTAAAGTGCCCATGGACCTTGGCAGCACAAGGCAGTAGATAAGTCAAACAACAGCTTCTTAACATTGAGGTGCTTAGCAGGCTTCCTCAGATAATATTGCACATCTTTGTAGGCCTCCACAACGCAAGCAGTTAGTCCATAACTCCCTCTTCCTCCTCCTTAGACATGGGCCCAGTTGGAATCACGGCGCTGGCTGAGGACGGAGCAATTCAATACACGCTGGCAACCGCCTGGGCCATTTTTGACACCACCTTGGAAAACTCATGTGCCAGAGACTGACAGGGGCTGCTGGCAAAGCACCTCTTTCGAGCCAATTTGCATGCGCAGTTGTGGGTTTCACACATAATAATTTGGGAGTGCGTAAATTTTTAAAGCATTATTCCAGGCAATATTTGAAAACACGGCTTTGCCGGATTATTAGTGGTCGGAGTGCTACTGCCTTCAAGTTAACTAGCAGCTTCTTAGGAAAACACTTCTGCCTTGGATCAGCCAGCAAGATCCCATTTTTTTAAGGAAATGCAAAAGCAGTGTCTGACCAACTTAGAAAGAAATCGGAGTACGAAACCTCCTGGATTCAAAGCAATTATTATTTGCTGGCAACTATTTTATGCTGTTAAAATTGGAAAAAAGTATTTTGTTGGTGAGTTAGAAAAATAATGAGAGAAGACAGCAGACTCCAGCCTTCCCTACAAAATAAATCAGTCAGCATAGCATCGCAAGTTGAGTCTTATAAAGTCTTATAGAGTCTTATTCTAAAATATAAAAATATTTCAAGGTCCTTTTCTTAAAAAGAAAATGGAGTTGTGYAGCATGTTGATTTGCAGCATTCATGGTGAGTGACGGTATTAAGTGGAAGGGCTTCCACCACATGCACACCAAAGCAGAAAAATTGAGTATCTACTCAAATAATGCATAAGCATATTCAGTATGATTCAGTAGGGTGCACTTTCTGAGGTATAGCAAGAAAAACATATCTAACAAGAACTATTTGTCCAATGCATATATTCATTTAACTGGAAAAGAAAAAGAAAAAATCATTCTCAGATTTTTAGTTTTTACTCCTAATAAAGAATATAAATCAGAACACACCTTTAATAAGTCCCTTTTCTTGCAGTGTTTTCAAGGAGGGTCTTCGGGAGATAAACTTCTTTAATCTGCTTTTAACTCGATTTCTGTCATTTGTATCGGATGCACTGTAGTTGAGTCTGAAAACTAAAGGGAAACAAAAGAAAAAATTCCAGTGAATGCAAGTTTTTAAATTAATAGCACTTTGTTCAAAAATCCTCAGGAATAGTGGCCACAGCCACCTAAGTAAATTCATGCGGTAGGTCAGTGGTGTAGCTAGTTGGACAGAGTGTTTGATTAATATTTTTGTGAATAAACATGATGAGTTCACTCTGCTGGCTACTCAGAGTCGTATTATTTATTGCTCACGAGTATTTGGATGGCTACCAGTTTACTCATGAAGTGTTCAGGAATCCCACAAGTTTCACACGGATGATTTTTCAGCTAAAAGCCCTGCATGAAAGGGAGCTGTGCACTGTTAGCTAAATGCAACTCGCTGGGAGAAGGGATGGCCACATCACGAGTGAAGGACCGAATTCTCTTGCCAAGATGGATTAAGCATTATATATATATATATATTTAATGCTGTTTTCGAAAACATGGCTATATGCCATGAAATGTGTGTAAGATGCATTAATTTATGGAAGGAGAACTATTCCAGTTCTAATGATTATATTTTATTATATTTAGGCGTTTACCAAGCGAAGAAGCATTTTGAGCTCGATTTATTCCTGCTCTGTGTCAAAAAGACATTGAAGCCAGCTGCAAAAAATCCCCTGGAGGAAGTTTTGAAGGCATAAATTTAACTTCTTCTCTGCTGAGGTGCTTAGAGGGAACCATCACAGCCTTCAAAACAGTCGGTACCAGTGGAAAGGAGAAAGCATAGGACGTCCGAGAGGTCCTAGCTGAGCGCTCAAGACTAAGCCACCCTAGCAAGGCGACCTAAACAAGGGTCTCAGTCTAAAGGAAGTCTAAAGGTTGTTTCTGCTTGCTGGACATGGTTCCTCTTTACTGCCTTCCACTTATCCAAAATGCACTGAAGAAAGAACAGTTTGCTCTTGCAAGCAAAAAAAAAAGAAGAAGAAGAAGGAAAATCCCCAGAAAYGGACTATTCACATTCACCACAAGTTGATCTAGCAGGAATTGATCCAAAGTCCCTTTACAGAATCTCTGTATAGTAGCCCCAATTAACTTAGCTGTGGTCACAGAAGTGCTCCCTAATGTTCCCTGTCCAGACTGAATCTCCCTTATAATTCAGTAGTCTTCGTACACCCGAGTCAACGGAAGAGAGAGAAAATCATGACCTAAATCATTAGGCTATTTTGTAGCAAGAAGTTTTGCATAAGCCGTAAACACAACCAGAATGTTTAAAGGTGAACAATCATAAAACAATGGCAAGCAAAAATAACTAGTTAAGCAACAGTAACAACCCTGGAATATTGTGGTTTACATTACAAATCTGATTTTAACAGCCAAACTTATAAAATGGTTTACGCTTTGCTGTTGTCAAGGGAGAAAAACTTGCCAAATTGTTCATTTTAAGTAAATAGAACATAGCCAATTAAGGAAAGCAATATTTAAACACATGCCTGTGATGATCAGAGCATAGTTTGCTTCTGATTTCACTACTGATTTTAACAGAAGAGTGCTCCATTTTCCCACAGCACTAAAATGACCCCACACATACTTCCACAAACTAGTAATCACACAGGACAAATAAAAGGACACTTTACTGGAAAACACACGGTTTGGTACAATAATCCATCACTTATGAAAAAYAGAATTCACATTTTTTAATGGTAGCATTCTTGGAGTGCTGCATCATAGAATATAAAGATTAGCATTCAATTGATGATTGGTGCATTTTTAACATTATAGTTTAGGACTTTTTGTTCAAAATTGAGCAATACTTGGCAGAGACGAGCAAAAATTCCAAGTGATTTGGCTGTGCTATAAAAAGAACAACAAATGGATGTTTCTAATTCTGCATCTTAATGGTACTTTGTAACAGTGAAGTGAATTGTATTTAGTTTTGTGAATCTCTTATTGCTTAGGGTCATTCTGTCTGCAGCAATTCATGTTTAGGTTTGCTTTTTCCTTATTTCAGTGATGTTTTCCTCATACAACTGTTGCAGGAGTGAAAATGTTGAAGTCAGTTAAGACGCTTGCCACCTTTCCCTTTCTTCAGGATTTGGAAATGTTTTATGTTCACTTAAACTATATTCTTAGCTCTTAAGTATGCACCAGATTTGTTARGATATTTTAACTGAACAAGGTCCTATAGAGAAAGATGCATTAACTCAGCTGGAAGCTTTATACCTGAAACAGCAATTATGGTGTTAAAACTACATCTAGAGGTAGGAATAATTATTGTCAGGGATAGTTTTGTATATTGGACTGGATAGCACTGAGTTAAAAACAGCAGTAAAGCCATTTTTGATAAATTTCTTATTTTATTCTATTAAGTATGTGTGAGTCACCGGAGGAAAACTCCAAGCCTCCCAGAAATTCAAGGGTTTAGAAAGTATGTTCCAAACTCAAGCTTAGCCAGAAATATTCTTGTTGGGATTCTGTATAGGAATATCCCTTCTCTTGCCAAAACATTCTCGCGATATCCCCCTATTAAAATGGCTTTGCTGTTGTGTTTGGAAACACACAGAGGACCAAATGTAGTTAAAAATAGAAAAAGAAAAAAGCATGGTAAACTGTCTTTTTTTGTAGTAGTAGCAGCAGCCTCCTTTTTAAATTTCAGGTTCTGGATTTAGCCAGATGAATTTTTCATTAATGAGAGTTTGGCAAAATTCAAACAACAGACAAAAGTAGAAAACACTTCCCACAGAGGAGGAATAGGATACTTTCAAATAAAAAAGAATAGCAAAGTAAATCTATTGCTTGTTCTCATGTTCTCCAGCATATATAGTACTTACATATCCCGTCTGAGTCATCGCACTGAATAAATCCATATCCTCCAATTCTGAATCTAATTGCACTAATAGATTCATACAGCCAACTTCTAACCAACAYATAACCTGCTTCAAAACCAACACAACAAACAGAAGTATAAATCCGCTCACTCTGCACAAACACTTCAATTGCTAATTTGTTATTTTGCACTAATGATTTCTCACTTGCGAGACAGAAAATGGAAACACGTGCTTGTCCTTTTATCGTATTTGCAGAGCTGGCCCCAGCAGAAATTACAATATTATGATAAACTTTTTCCTGATGGAAATGGGTGCAGGACACGTGAAYCTGGCAGCAAAAGCATTACTATGGCAGGAGTTGGTCCCATATTAAATATTTATTTATTCCATAGGTGAAAAAGGTATTAACAGATAAATAATAATAATAATAAAAAGCAAGGTCTTTCCTCGGGCAACTATCTGCTGCAGAATTAAACTATATTAGAATCACAGGAGCTTATCACATTAGGGAAGTGTCATACAGAATGGGTACAAAAAGAAAATAGCAGAAAAAAGTACAAACAGAATGTTTTGTTAGGAATAAGAGAAACAGCAGCCTCCCAGTCCCCAATGATTAATGACATTTTCAAAACATTACCTGAATTAGGGAGGACAACTGTAAGCTAAATATTTCAGACAAGAAAAAAAAAAGGAACAGGAAAAAACAATTAAAAAAAAAGTAAATATTCTGGATATTATCTCCTAACCTCCAAGAGTAATATTTCAAATAATATATAAATTACAGGATTATTATGCAAAATGATGGAAAACAGAGTCTACACAAGAGCTCTGAGAGGACAAGAAGACAGGTGGAGGGAAAAAGAAGCAATGGATTATATTTGAACCACACAATTAAACAGCAGAAGCCCCATAAGAATCAATGGAAGTATTGAGATCTGCAGATGAAGAACTGCACGCTATATTTTAATGTACTCAATTGTATATATGAGGTAATGAGAATAAATATAGTGTAAACAGGCTTAAGTAGTGACTAACATAGTTGCATGGTGAAGCTGTCAAAGTCTTTCTCCAAGATCTTGGCGTGGGCCCAATTAAGGAACCAGACRGGGCTCTGGCCTCTCTGGGGCACGGACCATAATTCTTTATGTGCCTAGAGCATGTGAGTTCAGCAGAGAAAATTAAACACAAATCATGTACCTAGACAATATATTCCCTGGGTGTGATCCTCTGGGTGCTYCTCTGGGCAAGGCCTACGTGATTCAGATCTCCATGCGCTTCCACCAACCCGCAACGTTGATCTCACTTTCCTACCAAGGCCTTTTATCTCACTCCTAATTCACAAAACATTTACACAAAATCTCGAGGGTTTACCTATGATTAATTCCTGCCAGGTAGAGTATATCCAAATGCTTTCAACATGTGTTGGAAGCATCGGTTTTTGGAGAACCATCCATTAACGACTTTCTGGACTGTGACAATGGATATTGACAGTGCTTGTCAGACTAAAGCACTATTGATTGTCTCCCATCATGTGTATAGCAAAACCAATTTCTTTCAAGTGCCTCTTCTTAACTGAAATACATTATTATGGGCCCTATCTGTTTATTATAATACCCCAAATTACAGTCTGTTATTCATTTGAATAGGCACGGCTCACACAGAATGAGAACCAGCAGCAGGAGTGGATAGGGTTTAAGAAATTTGAATAGATTCACATTAGCATCTCTTCTTGCGTGAGTATTGTTTGGAGGGTAAAAACACAGCAACGTCTGAACTGTGTAATTTTGTCTGCATCTTCTTGAGTACTTCAAAATTTCACTAAATTTTTAAAACTGGACATGACTTGTAATATAAGGGTGACATCTTAGAATGTAATAGGTAGTATTTAACAAATTTCTTCCCAAGGAAGAGTAAAACTGGCAGGTTTCCCCATTCAAAACACTGAACACATTGATCTAAAGCCTGGTCCAACTACCTGCCAACATGAACGAACAGGTTCATGGGCTTAATCTTACATGTCTTAAACTGGGCATTTTCTGAAGTGCTTTACAGATTGAAGCTGAGCAGGTGAATTGGAAGGTAGGAGTAGGTCTCTGAGACTCTGGATAATGAACGTGCCAGCCTCCCAGCAGTGCTATCACATATGTGCAAAAATACTAATTTCAAGGATCTGGAATGCTTAATTATACAGAGTAGCTCATCCTCCCAAAGAACTATATCTGT